TTTTTTCATTCAGGAATTTTTTTCGGATCTTAAACTATTTTATATGCCTATTGACATTCTCCAAGTGAGTTTGTATTATTTTTAGTCATATGATTCTCACCAGATTATTCAACAAGAACTAGATATTTATGAAAAGCATGAATTTAGTATTATTTTTATATACTAATTTACTAAATTTGTTCAAAGAGATATATTCAGTACCAAAAAATAGTACTTTTCGCATCAGTTATTAGGAGCGGTTTTTAAACCGCTGAAAAAAAACTTATTTGCAGCAAGGGATTTTATAAATTTGTTTTCCTTTTCTTAGTTTCGCCTTTTGAAGTATAAAACATCTGTAGGTTTTTTTTCACAGATTTGTCGTCTTTGAAAAGAATAGGGGAAGGATATCTCTCCGTGATAACTTTGATCGCTTGTTAGCATTTTAAGCAATAGTGATGGAAGATGGTTGCGATGTGGCTCTATTTGCTCGCTTGTTAGCATGTGAGTAATGTAAAATTTAAACTTTGAAAACTTATATGCTAGTCTTATATAATTCTTAAGATAGTCAAGTATGCTATGAAACTTTTCAAATAGAGAAATTTTTTTCTCTTTCTTTTTTAGATAACTTATGATTTGGTAGATTCTTACATTAGATTGCAAGTAAAACCTTGATTGATCTAATCCAAATTATTTGATTGAAAATGGTATAACTAACAGCATGAAGGAGACAGTGGCGATGAGCGACTATGGTGGCCGCTGGTGGTGACATCAAAGCCAGCTTGCTATGGAAAAAGAAATCGGCGGCGAAAAATGGCAAATTTGAAATGCATAAAAAATGAACAATGGAGTAAGAAAGAAATTCATCAAAAAGTTAAAAATCAAAATTTTAAATTCTAGTACATTTAAAGTATTTGGAAATCCTTTTTAACAAATCAAACAACCCTAATCCCATACACAAACAAAAAGGAAACAATCCTGAAACTAACACAAAAACACATCCAAATCCTCAATGTAACCACCCAAAATCTTAAATTCGGCCATCCACAGGTCTCCATTGAATGAACCAAGGATAGAAAATTTTCTCTGGGAGGGAAAAACCAAAGAAGAGAACTAAAATTACCCTAAATCCTAAAAGATGTGAAAGGCAATAGAGGAAATTAAAGTTGGAAAAGGAAGGATTAACCAACAAATAAGAGCCAAAAAATTGAACCAAACCAGCTCCTATTTTTCTTCTTTTTCTTCCTATATTTCAGAGTTGCTGTAGATTTCCTGCTTCTACAAGGAGCATCACAGAGTCGAAGGCCTTGAAGACCTACTGGCAGAAAGCAAGAATGCCCACATTGATCTGTAACACCACCACCAACTCTAGTAATATTTCGATTGGCTTTCAGAACTCTCAAAATTTTGAAAACTTGTTGATTAGATCAAAAAAGGAGCTGGTTTCGTTCAATTTTTTGGCTCTTATTTGTTGGGTAATCCTTTCTTTTCAGCCTTTCCTCTATTGCCTTTCTCATCTTTTAGGATTTAGTGTAATTTTAGTTCTCTTTTAATAGAATTGTGCTTCAGTTGTAAAAGTTCCACGAAAAAATTATATGGGAATGATATCATTTTTCAGTGAAGAGTGAATCTTGAAAGTTAGCTTCGAGGATAATTTTTTACCAGTCTTACTAATATCACAAAAAATAAGTAAACTAAAGGGACTTAAAAGTGGAATGTACAACAAATACAAAGCAGAACTAATTCATTTATACCATTATATTGCATAAAGAAAATTTTCCTAAAAAACAAGCTCTCTTCTTCCTATTCCTGGAAAGCAGCGACCTAAAAAATCCGATATAAAAAAAATGAAAATTTGCTCCTCGTAGTTTATCTTTAACTTGTAGATGCAGCAGTAACGAAGCAGTAATGCTTGCTTTGGCAACCCACACAAATGGATCATCCTTCCAAAAGATTCAAATGCCGGCTGAAAGCAACACAGCGCCGTCACTATAGGATACTTAAAGAAAAAGATTCATTTTTTTTTTCTTTTCTCACCTTCTTCTGTAACTTTTCTTCTTCATTCCCTATTCTCATCAGCCATCCGAGTCTCTTCTCTCCTTCAGTGAAGAGATTGAAGCCAAACTTGCTTTCAAGAACCTCTTCTGGAACAACGTCGCAGGAGAGAAGAACCTCTTCTGCGGAAAGCCCCACGCGAACCAGCGAAGCCGAAGAAGAAAGCCCTACCTCACGCGAACGGCAACGAAGAGGAAAGCCCTAACTCCGTTAAATTGAAGATCCGTGAGGGTAAATTGACGATCTGAAAAGGAAGGTACTGCTGTTCTGCGAGTTTTCTCCTCTCTCGTGGGAGGCTGGTTCGCGCGAGAGTTTTTGGAACCCGCTCGAAGTCACGCAAAAGGCCTGTCACAATACACCGATAATGCTTCCCAGGAATTACTTTTGTTCTCCTTAAAATCAACGAAACAATTTAATTTACGAAATACATGTAAATTAATTACATTACACTCCTAATTCTGCATACCAAACAGCCCCTAAGTGTTTTTCTTCTTTGGTTTTTCCCTCCCAGAGAAAGTTTTGTATCCTTGTTCCATTAGATGGAGACCGGTGGATTGCCGAATTTAGGATTTTGGGTGGTTAGATTGAGGATTTGGATATTTTTTCGTGTTTGTTTCAGGATTTGTTTCCTTTTTGTTTGTGTATGGGCTTAGGGTTGTTTGGTTTGCTAAAAATAATTGCCAAATATTTCAATTGTAGGAGAATTTAAAATTTTGATTTTTAACTTTTTGATGAATTTCTTTCTCACTCCATAGTTAATTTTTTATGCATTTTAAATTCGCCAATTCTCGATCAATATCTTTTTGATAGCAAGCTGACTCTGACATCACTGCAAGGAATCACCGTCATCTCTCACCGCCACTTATCAAATTACTAACCACTACTATCATTGAATTTTACATGATATTGATTTTTTCTCTAGCAAATTATCTTATCAATGTAATTTGTTAAAGAAATCAAAGTTCAAAATTAATTTCTCATTACCTTCTTATGCTTTATTTGGGACGACTTTCTTACTGTTTCTTAAAGTTGTTTTCTAGTATAAAAATTTTCCTTTTCCTATACTTGAAAGTTCTCGCACAATTTATTTTTAAATAAAACATCAATTTGAAGCTTATACATACTAAAAGATGTTAAATTGAAAATTTCTGGTACCATTCATAAGGAAAATTAGATATAATAAATGGACAATTTCTTACTACTTTCTATGAAATCACATCAAGATCATCACCTACGAATTTCTTACTCGTTTGAGATGACTTTCTTGCTTCTTCTATAATCAGCTTTTTACTGAAAAAATTTTGTACTAGAAAGCTCCTTTAAGAAACAGTAAAAAAATTGTCCCAAATGAAGCCTAAATATGACTCAGTCCGATCCGAATAAAATTTTTGCTCAATTCCTCTACTATAAACTCCTTACATAAATGTTTGTCAACATTAAAAATTAAAATTAAGGTTTGTGATATCATAATTGAAAACTTAATTAACTTTTAGTTTTGATTTGAAGAAAGTAGAGATGTCAAAATCGGATTAAGGGTGGGATTCAATTCGAACCAGACATTGACTCGTTAATATTTTACTCGACCCAAATCCAACCGATTTTTACAGACAAGTTAGAAATCTCAGCCCGACCGACACAAAACCACGATGCGAGTCCCTCCCATCGTTGTTAGTTCGTTACTTCAGATCCAACTGCAGAACGACGAGCTCATAGCTTCCTCCCGTCATCATCGTTATATCTGATCCAACTGCATAATGGCAAGTCCCTTCCGTCGTCATCATTAGTTCATTACTTCCGATCCAATTGCAAAACGACGAGCTCTCTCCCATTGTCGTCGTCGTTACTTTCGATCTAGCTGTAGAACGGCGAGCTCCCTCCTGTCATCGTCGTTAATTCTGAGCTGCCGTGACTTCCAACCCGACAGGAAAGAACGTCGTCGAAGGAGGCGAACACGCGAAGCAGGCTGACTAAGCCCGTGCAAGAAGAAGAAAAACAAAACCTAGGCCCTGACCCAAAGTTAGGTCAGATCCATGTGAACTTCGAGTTAACAGGTTGACCCGAATCATACCCAATTTTTCGAATGGATCACATTTTGAAACCCTAACCGACCCATTTGCCTAATGGGTTGACCCTAAATTTTTGGATCGGGTCAAATATTGGAGTTATTATTCCGTCAGGTTACCGAATGCATCCGGAAACCAATAACAAAATGCCACGTCATTAAAGTGCTCGGTACCGCTCCCTCAGTACACTCGGTATGCTCGATATTTTCAACGGATGTAATAAAAATTCCAAATATTGACACCCTACCAGAAAGGATCCGTAACCTCCCTTTGGGTCCACCCACGTTGCCGATTAGATCTATGCACGTCTTCAAAGTCTACTGTTGTTCTTCCACCCAGAACGAAACTCACCAGCGCTATGCGGCGTCCAAGGCAGCTTCGTCTCCTGCGCTCCAATCTCTCTTTATTAGGTGAATGAGACGAAACCGGAAGTTTCCGACCTTCTCCATCCCCCTTTGTGTCTAATAAGGTGAAACCGCATCGACCGCTCTCTCTCTCTCCCTTTTGCCCGCTCAGCGCAGCCTCTCAATGAGCCGGCGCTGCCAGTTCATTTGAACCTGTTTTAACAATTTCTTCATCAAGAAAAAATGTTGGAAGGCCCCAATCCTGAACAGAAAAATAAAGCATGGGAACAGGAAACGATCTAAAATAAAGAGAAGTGGAGAGTCAGAGCTGATAAACCGTATGTAGTATGTTTTTGTGTCTTTCTCATTCGATCTCTTGGCTTCAAGCTGCTTGCTTCTATCCTGACGATCTTGATCAAAGGAAAGGGAAGTAAAATTTTCATCTATTTTTGCAATGTTTTCACTGCAATGAAACTCTACAGGTTTCTGCTGCAAGTATAATTTTACATGTATATTTGATGCACGCCAAATAAGAACTTTTATGTTCATGCAGAATTATTCATTTAGTCAATAAAGATCTTCATTACTTACCGAGAAAAATCTACAATGATCAATATACGACCGGTAGATGTTCATTAATCAGACACAATTACACAATGGCAAACCCAAACTGAATTGTGAAATCCCCAGCAGAAAGAACAACTTTAACTTACCTAAAATTTCTCAAACAACACTATGAAACTGACATTTTTCGGCTAAAACAAAAGAAACACTTGAATAAGACCAAAATACTGATACAACTGTAAAAACAAAATCCACCATCGAAAAGAAAAGCTAAAACCGAACAATCTTCATAGGTTTGACGAATAAGGTGTGTGTGATGAGGGGTAAGATCAATTTTTGTTATTCAAATTTATGACCTCCAGGACACAATGAAAGCAACTAACCATAGCTCCAGGCATACCCTCTACAAGCTTGGATAATAGAATTCCATCTCCCAAGGCGTCAAATATGAAATAGGTGAAAGATCTCCGTATAGTGAATCATCATCATTCTGTCTTGGTGAACTGGTTTCAGATTGCTTGAATTTTCGGGACCTTAGTGCAGTGACTTTGAGTTTTGCAATGAATACTAACTTGAACCAATTGCATCTTGGTGAATTGGTTTCAGAACACTTGCTTTCTCGGGGCTTTGGTGCAGCCATTTTAAGCCTTGCAACGAATAATAGCTTTAGCCATTTGACACGAAGCAATGGGGAACCAATATCAAAATTATTGGGCACATAGCTTCTTCCATTTTGTTTCAGCAGATCATCAACGAGAATATCCACCCGATTAGTGCCGCTCCAGACCCCCTCCCTCATGATGAAAGTTGCTTTCAAATTGTTCCCCGACTCTAAGCCGATTGGAGCAGATAGACCCTGTGCGCTGGTAGACATGCCTGAAATTGGAAGTTCACACTCAGCATAGAATGGTAATTGATACGAAACTGTTTATTAAGACAGTATAAAAGAAAGTTTTCAAGTTATAAAAGGTCCTAATACACATACCATTAGGCTGCACCAGGACATTGGAAGTTTGGGATGAACTTGATCCAAGAAATCGTCCCAAATTCTGAAGGAATGGGAAAAACAGAGACTCATTCAGTTTTACTCTAATTTAGGTTTCGTTTGGGACAACTTTCTTACTACTTCTTGAAGTAGTAAGAAAACCGTCTCAAACGAAGCCTTAGTCTCCATCAACCAGCGGCACTTAAGGGGTTATTTGATAGGCTTCTTGCTTCTAAAAGCAGTGTTTTACAAAAAACTATTTTATAGGTCACAATCTTTACTGAACTGCAAAAAAATTACTTCTAAAAAGAAAATTGTGGGCTTTTTTTTTCCAACCAAACAGAACATGCAGGCAAAAAGCTAAATAAAAGATTCATCTCTTTGTTGGAATCAAAATACAAACCAAACACAGCTCACCTTGACCTATTGGTTGAGAGCTAATGCTTCAACTAAGAGGTCCTAGGATCGAGTCTTTGTGTATGCGTGGTGTGTGTGAGTTTGCCTTAATTGGCCTAAATGTCCCAAAAAAAAAAAAAAATACAAACCAAGTCAGGTGCAGGAGGGTTAACCAGACAGCCATCGCGTAGAATATCAGGCCACTCCCTAGACTTTGAGGCATGACCATAGGTTCTTACCCATCTTCCTTCTGTCATTCCAATCATCTGACGAGATAATCAAAATGTTAAGAGGTCATAGATCATTATAATGTCGCAAAGTATCATTTTATTGTCCATTTGATGATAATCTTACATCACGTAGCGTTTCTGGACGGTTTTCGCTACAATAACATAAGAAGTCCCGCACAGTGTTGATATTACATTCTACAAGCCTCTTGTGGAAAGGGCCATTTTCGAAAATCCCCTTTAAATTATATACTTTATCCTCCATCGACGGAGGACGATCCTTTTGGTGCCCTAAACTCGAGAAAACAAAATACTAATTAAAATTTGTAGAAACTACATTTAAAATTGCACTGCTGTATTTTGAAGTACTTCCATTTTGAATCTTTCAATATTATGAGTTGAAGAGAAGTTATATATTAAAGTCTAAGAAGGTGCATTTTAAGGAAATCAAGCATCTAAGCTTTCACGAAGAAATTCAGTTACTAAGTTTGGTATTTGAAGAATTATGAAGGAAAAAAAAATTCAGCTAAACAGTTATTAATAGTATTGACGAATTGTTATCCATTAATAACTTGAGTTAATGTCATTCAAGAAAATTGGGCTTCGTTTAGGACAGCTTTCTTATTGCTTTCTAAAGCAGCTTTTTAATACAACTAAAATGCTGCTTTAAAAAGCAATAAGAAAGTTATCTCAAATAAAACTCTTTATGAGAATTTCGACTAAGAAAAATCAATAATATTTAGCTAAAAGCAGCAAACAAGAAATAAACTGACAATGACAAATCCATTTCAAAGCAAAGCATTATTCAAATAATTTTCAAACTCAATCAGAACTAATTTAAATCAAAAGATGAAGCATCAATCAAACATTTAATTGATGATTAATTAACCTATGGAACCGATTTCCAAGTATGAAAGTATGCCTCTCAAGCATATTCAATTCATGACATTTAACAAATGATATTAAAAATGGAAAATCTATTGAAGAATTCTTTCAGAGGTTAAGTTGATGGATCCCATTATTGGTTTTACTTTTTCACATTAAAGTAGGCAGCATATTGAATAGATAAGCCAGTAAGTTGATTAAAAAAATGCGCACAGAAACTAAAAGGTTGGCTCTGTATCATAAATTTTGAACATCAATGGGGGGGTTAATTCTAAGGTTGAATGTCATGTGAGTTTCATATGCCGATCTTTTACTCTAAAAGATCATGTGAGTAACTCTTTAAAATGACCAAGTGGCAAGAGCAACAGTGATGTGATCATGTGAGTAACTCTTTAAAATGAACAATTCTGGAATCAAAAAACAAATACTTACGTTTCATATGCCGATCTAGTACTCTAAAATCCTTGCTTATTCCTACTTGAACTTCTTTAGCCATGCCTCTTACACCCAATCTGAACGTTTTAGACTTAGTCCAACTAGAGTTATCAGTAAATGTGGCATCTGATATACTTCCAATTCCATCACAAAGCCTCGTGGGCAAGTTTCCTATCAACAATGGTCCTTTACCCTTTCTTGGCTCTAATACATATTTCTTAAACTCTTCCTCGGTCCATTCACCATTTTCATCGCCATCAATATCTCCATTAAGGACAACAATTTCAATCTCAGCTATCGCCATGGGACCAGAGCTGATGACATTGTTTGAAGCATCTACCAAAGCTATTTCAATCTTAATATCATATGCTATGAAGTTTGTGTCTGTATAAAGTTTCTCCGGCAATTTATTAAACCGAAATCGATATTTGCACTCTCTGTAATATGAATACAGAACAACAAAACTTCGATCAGCATTAAGGGCATGTATTAAGACATGCAACAAAAACATTCAAACAAAAGAAAAAAAGGTACAAAGCTCAGTCGCAATGTGCCCCGACAAATCACACAAATGGTGACAATTTTAGGGTACCTGGAAGAAAATTGAGGAACATTGAAGCCAACCTTTTGACATAATTGTTGAACCTGATGAGATGATAAAAGAAGAAGTTGTGCATGAGCATATGCTCATAATTTAGTGAGCAGGATTAATCAGAGTTGGCTGATTGCCTTGAACTAGAAGCAAATTATCCTACGACAAAGTGATCAAGAAGCTCATTTCATAACTCAGCTTGCAATCCTAAACAACTTCATACTACGATCCTTAAATACAAGATAAAAAACAAAACATCATTGAATACCACTTGGAGATCACGAGGGTACGGCTTCAGCTTCTTCATCAATTCGTCCACCGTGTATCCCCTGCAAACATCAAAGAGAGGAGAAGCTGAGAAGAAGAAATCATCAGCGAAGAGACTTATTGAACCGCAAGAACTCACCGGTCTTGCCGATCGCAGCAGCACCGCTTTGATCCGCCGGCTCGCGTCGGCGATGCTTCCCCGTCGCCGTTTTCTTCACAGGATTTCCTCTTCGAACCCATGGATTTATGCGAACGGCGCTTTCTCCTCCAGTCCTCCACTTATTGATGGCGAACCCCATTGATTTATCATCATTTATAGATGGCGAAGTCATCGCCAAGTCTTTTCTCGAGCTTCTTTTTTAAAAAAAATAAACGGGAGATTTTCCTTCCCGCGGAAAGGGAAATTTCCCAACAGAATTAAAATAACAATTGGATTTTGGAAGAATAGCTCCCGGCGGCCGCCGGTCTCGGTCTACTCGTCGTACGGAAAGATTTGTTCAAAGATTTAGGATCGGATGGGGACAAAATGTTGGCCGTTTTACTTCTCATATCATAATTGATTTTTAAAAAATTTTATGCTATAAAATCACTTTTTAGTTTTTATTACAGCTTTTAAATAAGTTTTTTTTTTTTGCAACAAATTTACAGTCACCTTTACAAAACACTGTAGTCAAGATGCTTACTGCTTTACTTTTTAGACGCAACAACATTTATGTTTGATTACTGTTTTTAAGAAATTTTTCTTCGAAGAAATTGTTTGTATAGCAATTTTAAAAAAAGTTATTTTAACCACAATAACTTGACAATAACATTTACATAAAGCTACAGTTGGTTCTGTTTGGAATGATTTTCTCGCTATTTTGCTTTACAGACAGCACCGCAACTTCGTTTCACAACTCTTTCTTACTGATTTCTTGTTGTTTTTCAAATATTTTTATGGAGGATTTTTTTTTTTTTTTACAATAGAAGTAGCTAAGTTATTTTTCTCAAATCAACTTCACAATCAACTTTATAAAACGTTACGACCATCCCAAACAGATTTTAAATAGAATTCATACATGATTAAACTTTGGTGATATAATAATTTTTAATTTAGTTAAAAATTAAATGCAAAATATGTGATATAAATAAAGATTTATATTTCATTAAATATGAAATATAAATTATCCACATAAAATACCTTCTATAATTTCAGATTCAAATATATTTTATATTTGAGCAATAGAAACTTATTTTTGTTTGACTTTAATGATAATATATGTTATTTTTTTTCCTTTAATTTTGTCATCCATCAGAGAATCAATATTTTAAAACTTAATTTAGAAACTAAGATAAAAGTTTGTATCAATTAAAAAAAATGCAGATATAAAAGTTGAAGTGGGAAATTTTCCCATTAAATCTCAGGCAATTTGGAGTGGAGGTTTGAAAGTCAACTTTTTTGGCTCCAAACGTGACATATCAGCAAATTATTACGTCCGGTGTTTGGATTCTTCCGGACACCAATCCAGACGTGCCACATCAGCAAAATACACCGGGTCCCGATGTATTTGGGTGACGTGGCACATCCAGATTGGTTGTCCGGATGTCAGGTGACCGGATTTAATAATTCGCTCCATCTAAGGCCTTTTTTAGACAATTTTCTTATTGTATTTTAAATCAACCTTTTATTACAACATTTCAAGTTGTAAAAATATTTTTACTAGAAATATGCTTTAGCAAGCAGTAAGAAAGTCATCGAAGGCTTCCGTTGGAATAATTTTCTTATTACATTCTAAAATAGTTTTTTAACGCGAAAAATTTTACACTAAAAATTTGATTTAAAAAGCAATAATAAAGTTGGCCCAAACAAAACCTAATTCCGTTGTAAGATGATATTTAAATTAATATTTTTTAAAATTAAATTTAGAGTAATGTAATCTCGATTTTAATAAATTTATAGTCAACCATAATATTTTGATGAGACGAACTCATTGAAACTAAAGTGATCTAATCTGAATCCAATTAAATCCAAATCGATCACTATTTAAGTAGCCAAATGATCTCCAAATCTACAAGCACAAAATCATTTAATTCTAACATCATTTAGACACTTAAATGCTAAAAGAGTGATCCGATATTGAGGGAATAATATGGGTCATCTAATGCAGTGTTCTAGATTTTAGCTTTATTTATAGGCATCCCATTCTTAAAGATATATAAATTTGGCTGCACTTTCACATTGAGGAAGAGGGCATAAATACATGTTGTCAACATCAACTTTAACTCCTGACATCAATGCTAGACTTATTGGCCTTTAGTATCCTTTACTCAAAAGAGAACGATCAAACCAACAGAAAATCATTTCTTAAAGATAGCTCTTGCTCCATAGAACTCATTTGACTTTCACCATGTTGAAATATGTTCTCTATTATATAATATCAACACGTTCCCCGCCCATGAGAAAGGGCGTCATTTGTAATTGATGGGAAAAAAATTAGTGGAATTATTTCGATTATGTCAGATCCATGTTATTCTATATATTTTTTAAAATTGTATGTAAAAGCTTTTGAGTTTCTTAAAAGTCTTCTCTAATTTATATGTATATTAGATCTTTGTGTAATGCTAAGATGTTAAACTTCTCACTTTATAACCATAAATGTTCTGGCACGCAATATATATCATTGTTCAATGTTCAATAAGGAAAGTTTCATATATGCATAATTGTAAGTAATAAAAACCTAAAGATTAAGTAAAATTCGTCTGAAAAACGGTACACCAATATAATATAGGAGATGATGATGGAATTTATATTGACTCAAGAGATAAATCATAAGAGAAAATCGAATAAATTTATTTGATATTCTTCAATAGAGGAAGTTTCATATATGCATAATCATAACTAATAAAAATATAAAGAATAGGTAAAATAAAGTTATTCATATTCGTTGATGAGGTTCCGAGTATATCACCGTGGTGCTCATATTATATTAAATTAATCGCATGAAAACTTCCTCAAAGCAATTAAAAATGGTGTTACTAAGTCTTACATATGGATATAGATCAAAGAATTGATAGTTCTTATAGACAAGAAGTTATAAGAGTGTCACGACCCAATCAGACCGGAACGAATCCCTTCGCGTCGGGCTGCGACAAATATTGAAAATCCAGGATCTAGTTCTGGAATTTGCTTTCGGACTTTCTTCCAATAATCAAACATACAGAAAACACAGAGCTGCTATAAACATCCAAATATACAGAAAAGTTCATACATGATTTTCTTCTTTCTTTTCTCAAAATAATCATGTATAATACAGTGCATGACTATAGACAGAAAGAACATAACAGAAAAGTCATAACTATAAAAAAATCAAAAGTACAAAATATATAATTACAGATCAGACACTGAACGGCTAGTCCAAGACTTCGTTCCCTTTCCCAGAACCTGAAAACCATGCAGATAACAAGGATGAGCTAACTGTCACGACCCGACCGAGACGGATCCCGCCCGCACCGGGTCGCGACCAGCTTAACGAACAGACAGACCAGGATCTGACTTTGGAATTTGCTTCGAAACTGATTCTTCCAAATATTTCAACTCAAGAACAGACACACAGAGCTACTATAAAACATCAAATGCAGCGGAACAAATCATCTATATTTTTCTTTTCCTCAAAACAATCATCTACAAATACAGTACATGGCTAACAGAAAAAACAAAGAAGAAAAGCCATAACTGTACAAAAATCAAAAAATACAAAATACCTATAACTGATCTGATCAGACTCAGAATTCTAGTACAAGACCTCCTTCCCTTTCCCAGAACTTGAAAAACACGTAGAAAATAAGGGTGAGCTCAACAGCTCAGCAAAGCAACAAACCTCCAATCAAAACTTCCAGAATCCAAAACCAAACACTTCAACAAAATCCGTACAGAAACCAGAACAGAATCAGACAGATATCAAAATCATGCAGATCAGAACGAAACATATCAAATCAGAATAGATACGGACATATATCAAATCAGAACAGATACGGACATATATCGAATCAGAACAGATACGGACATATATCGAATCAGAATAGATCTAAACAGAACAGATCAAATCAGAACAGTACGGAAACAGAAGTTATATCAAATCAGATATCAGATAGCATTGTAATTAATAGTTAAATTCCCTGACACTAACAGAATCTCTACGGATGCTGGCCCCTTATGCCTCCCTTTGTGCTCACGGCATCAGAACAGATGTGTTTATAGCACCAGAATTTATATGTGCTTATAGCACCATAATATATGTGCTTATAGCACCAGAACAGAATTCCTCGGATCCGGAACAGAACAGCTCATTTCAGATTTCCCAGACACTAACTGAATCTCTTAGGATCCAGGCCCCTTATAACTCCCTTTATATAGCATATACAGATAGCATATCAATTCAGAAGAAATCCGGACGAATTCAGAAATCAGACAAAAATCGGGCAGCACAACGGATGTATACAGAATTTACACAATTTTCCTGAAAAAAATCACAGAATACCAAATTTGCACATAATATAGATAACAACATTTCAGAACATTTATTCTATTGCCACATCATTTAATATCATCACAGAAAAATACAGACGAAATAAAACACCGCCGAATTCAAAATACCCGGACCAAAATCTCCGGAAAATAACCAAAATGTGCACACTCGGCACGCTAATAACATACAGAAAATCACGTGGTAAAAACTGAACCAGACAGAAAATACGGATGAAAATCACTAACAAAAACCAATTCCGGACAGATAATATCGCCAAACACGACGGTTCTGAAAATTGAGAAAGGCGGATTGTGCCTTACCTTGCGTACAACACATTATTGAACTGTCACGACGGACGAAAACGGCCCGTCGTCGCCCGAAAATCAACTTTTCCAAAGTGGCTTTCGACATTCTCTCTCCTCAGCTGATTTTAGATATTTATTTCATTTTCTCTCTCTTCAAAATATCTCATTTTCATATATATTCAGACTGATCGTCCTGGACGATCGCAACTTCGTCCTGGACGATCCAGCTCTGGAGAATTTCGTCCAGACGAGATTAATTATCGTCCCCGGCGACTGGTCCTCTGGAGCATTTTCGTTCAGACGATCCAAATTTTCGTCCAGACGAACTGCTCAGTTTCCACAATTCCAACACAACCTGTACCGATCGTCCCGGGACGATCCAACTTCGTCCCGGACGAACCTGGAGCAAACTTCAACTGATCGTCCCAGGACGATCCCAGATCGTCCTGGACGATCCTGGAGCAGAAACAGAACTTCACAATCTCCCCAA